GCTGACGATTGTTCGATCATGGCGTCTGGGAATGGAATTGATGACTTGTGCTCGAAAGTAAACGGTGTTCTCGCCGAACTTTCTCGCATCTTCACGGCGCGGAGCCTTGCCCTATCCCCTGCGAAATCCTCGGCAACCCTTTTCACCACCTGGACGAAGGAGGTCAGACTGCAACTGGGTATTCACGTCGATGGCGTAACAATACCGACGGTGAATAACCCGAAAATCCTTGGAGTTACCTTCGACAGTCTGCTCTCCTTCTCGGCGCATACAACCGCAATTGTCAACAAAGTACAGAGCCGCAACAATGTCCTCAAGTCGCTGGCCGGCAGCACTTGGGGCAAAGATAAAGAAATGTTGTTGGCAACATACAAGGCAATTGGCCGGCCGGTTCTAAACTATGCAGCGCCCGTATGGTCGCCGGGGACTAGCAGGACGCATTGGATGAAGCTACAGACCAGGAGCATAACATAATGCTCTGCAAGCAGTTCCTTACTGGTAGCCACAGACGTGGCTATCCCAGCGGACTGCTGCTCGCGGAAGAGCGTCGCCAAGGCACGTCAGGAGGCATCTTTACGAACTGACGGACGAAGTCCAGAGGTATATCAAACAACCTCTGGACCCGTCAACCTACCGACAGGCCCTGCACGGCATTCACGGGGAATCAGTCTCAAGTTATGTAGACTCCCGCCCTGTGAATGCCGTTCTAGGCACTTAACCACCGGACGTGGACGGGACAGAACTTTGTCTGCCTCGGGAGACCCGCACCACAATAGCCCAACTTCGCGCTGGTTATTGCAGCAGGCTAAACTCTTATCTGAGTAGAATCAACGAGGATGTGCCCAACCAATGCCCGGCATGTGGTGAGTTGCCACATGACTCCCGGCACCACTCAGCTGACGCCCCTGTCCCTATGGACAGCCCCTGTGGAATTCGCACACTTCCCGGGCCTCCCCTAGCTGAAATTGACGACAACGTTGATGAATGAACCGACCCGAACGGGGTTTAGTAGCCGCTACAACAACAACAACTACCTTAAATTCTAATGCTGGGCACTAATAGCGCGCAAATCCGACGGATTTGTTGGTATTCGATGTCATTTTTCTTGTTAGTAGTGTGGTGCGCGAACAAATCCGACGGATTTGAAAGTTTTCAAACTTTTCGGATTTGTGCGACCGTTAGGCAGTCTGCACACGGGTCGTATAGCTTTAAACGCGTATTAGATGCTACATACGAAAGTTGTACGCCTTGATGCCGCACGCGTGCATTTAAATAGAGGGCTGTATACGAGTCGTCAGCTTCACGAATTCGTCAAAGCAACCTGCTGCAAATCGCTTGGCATACAGCAGTGTTGGTAGCTAGGCGTACGTACGCTTAGAAGAGAGAAAGAAGAAGTTTGTTTACCATTTTCTGTGTGCGTGCATTCATTTCATAAAAAAAAAAAACCGATAAAACAATAAAATCCGTGCAAATAATAGAAACATAACTGAAAATTAATTAAAGAAATAATAATTTTGCATCACTTAATATTTTTTGCCTGATACTTTGACCCTTTGAAGTTGCTTCGTGTGCAGATCTTGGGCGTAGAGGAATCGTTGCTGCATAAAAAATTTTATATGCCTAGGGCAGTCTGCACACGGTTCGTACACCTTTAGACATACTGTAAATAAAACTTGCACTACTTTAAAAAGCATATTGTCTGATGCGAATTTTCAGAAGTATAAATCCCCCTCCCAAAATATATTCCTGTTTGCGCCCGTGTATACATATATGAACGTACTTGTAAAAATTACTTTTACGACAAATCTGGGCACATTCGATTTACACCTTACAAAAAAAGTACGAATAACTGTTATTTTTGATCGAAAAAATAAAAATCATAATTTAACGATTAAAGATGATCAAAAAATCAAAAATCACATAGGGCCAGTTTTTCAGTGCACGGCTGTAGTTTAAACTCAGTTTAAACGCCCGATCTGGCTGGTTTAAACTAAGATCAGCCAATCAAATGTCAGCCAGCTGTTCAATTTAAACTCGGTTTTCTTAATCTAAGTTTTAAAATGATCGAAAAAAAATCGTAAAATAACGATCAAAGATTATCAAAATAATTTAAATCGCAAAATAACGATTAAAAATTATGGAAAATATAAAAACCATAAAATAAAGGTAAAAAATTATCGAAAAAATGAAAATCACAAAATAATGATTAATTTATGATTTTTATTATAAAACTCATAACGGTTACGGTCCCTGCAAATATTTGCTCATTGATTCCGTATTCCATTTTTTTCTAATTAGCTAGAGCTTTCGAAATATTACAAAATCGGCATATCTTCGGTTGCAAAATGTTGGAAATTCCTTTTTTTGTCACAATATGAAAAGCTACATGCAAACAACAGATAAAGCTTTATAAGGATACATAGTTAAGAAAAAGTATTGGTATTTTTTGCATAATTCAACAAAATATACTTTTCATTAAAAACAGGAATTTTTCCCGAATAAAAAGCGCTCTTTTGGCTTTTCGATAATAATTACATAACCCGTCAGGATGGTTTTTAAGTTTAGGTTTAATTAGCGCATTTTAAGATTACAAAGTATATATTATATTAACAAAAATTATATTAAAAGAAATACTGGTTGAAATTAATAGATGACGCGAATGTCCGTACACCGCCAAATCACATCGAACACTCCTCTTTGGATTCTGACGTTATTCCAAACATTGACGTTGCTAGGCGGTGTTCCCAGATTCGCTTACAGTCGGCCTTTCCTGGCAAACCGACCTCGCATCGTAGTTGTTCGTCGTGCTCTTTATCTCCGTTTTCAGATAATTCATCATCAGTAGTTGGTAGCTTACAATATGGCTTTAACTTGTCTGAGGCATAAATGGACTTATAATGCTTTTGCTTGCGATGCGACCCAGGCAAGTCTTCGATGACGTTACGATCACGTTCCAAAACAGTGACTACTTGGAACGGACCCTTATACTTCGGCTCTAACTTGCGTGACGTACCAGTACTGGCCGGTTCATTCTCTGCCAGGACTAGGTCACCCTCTGTGTACTTTCTTGGTCGTCGATGTTGGTGATCATAACGTTTTTTTGCTTTAGCTCGTTCTGTGTTGACTTTCATTGCCGCTTCTTCACGCTTTTGATGGATGTCATCAGTTGATTTATTGTTCGTAGTTAGTGCCAATATGAGTTTGTTGGCTAAAATATCTCGCGGTTCAAAATTAAAAAGTAACTCATGCGGTGTCTTCTTTGTCGTCTTGTTGGT